ATGGGAAAAAAGTCATTCTACATACAGACCATGCTGCCATCAAGTACTTGATCTCAAAAAAGGATGCTAAACCTAGATTGATAAGATAGGTTTTGTTGTTGTAAGAGTTTGACCTAGAGATAGTGGATAGAAAAGGAGTAGACAACCAAGTGGCAGACCATTTATCTAGGTTAGAAAATCCTGAGATAGGAGGAGGAGACATTGTTAAGACCTTCCCTGATGAAAGAATCCTAATGATACAACAAACAAAGACACCATTGTTTGCGGATATAGCAAATTACTGGCTTGTGGCATAAAACCTTCTGATTATACATGCCACATGTATAAGAAATTTCTCCATGATGCTAAATCTTATATGTGGGATGATCCTTTTCTGTTTAAGCTTGGTACAAATCAGATTTTAAGAAGGTGCATCCTAGAATCTGAAGTGGCAGCAATCCTACAGCATTGCCACCAAACACCATATGGAGGACACTTTCGGAGGCCAAAGAACAATAACTAAGGTCCTGCAATCTGGGTTCTATTGGCTAAATCTCTTCAAAGATGCTCATAATTTTGCACAAAGATGCAATGAATATCAATGAAGTAGATCATTTCCAAGAGGAATGAAATGCCATTAAATGGGATCTTGGAAATAGTGTTATTTGATGTTTGGGGAATAGACTTTATGGGTCTTTTTCCCCCCATCAAACAAATGTCAATACGTACTAGTTGCTATTGATCATGTCTCAAAATGGGTAGAGGCTATGGCATGTGTTTTATATAATGCCAAAACTGTGGTTAAGTTCCTCTAAGAACAAATTTTTACATGATTTGGTACCCCTAGGGCACTAATTAGTGATGAGGGTACCCATTTTGTGAACAATTTATTTAGTGGAGTTCTTGAAAACTATAACGTTAACCATAGAACTGCCACAATGTATCACCCAAAAACAAATAGTTTAGCAGAACTATCTAATAGGGAAATAAAAAGCATTTTATAGAAAGTGGTCAAGCCAAATAGAAAAGATTGGGCATTTAAATTAGATGACGCTTTATGGGCATACAGAACTGCTTTTAAAACACCAATAGGTATGTCCCCATACAAGCTAGTCTTGGGCAAAACTTGTCATCTCCGTTTAGAACTTGAACATAAAGCATATTGGCAATCAATGAACTAAATATGTGTTTAGATGTTGTTGGTAAGAAAAGGAAGTTGTAACTTTGTGAAATTGAGTAACATAGGCACATATCCTATGAAAATGCCAATCTCTATAAAGATAAAACAAAGAAATGGCATGACAACAGAATCCAACACAAAGAATTGAAAGAAGGCCAACAAGTTCTCTTGTTTAATTCTAGGGTGAAACTGTTCCCAAGAAAGCTTAAGTCTAGATGGTCTGGACCTTTCCTCATTCATAAAGTGTATTCATATGGATAATATGACTCAGTTAACCCGAAGGATAATATTGTGTTCAAGGTAAATAGACAAAGAGTAAAGTTATACCATGATCCTATATCATTCCCATAACATTGCTCTATGAACTTGACTACACCTTGCTAAAAGCTTCAGAAATTAATGGAATTTTTGAAGTCCATCCCTATTTGTACATAAATCTTTTAGTTATTTAAGTGTTTTTTTAGGGTAGTTATGTTTAATGGTTTATTTAGTTATTTTGTGTAGTGTTGTTTTGAAAAACAAGGTGCAAATTCTTGATGTTGTGGATATGCTGCAACATTCCTAACCTTGGTGCTATTTTTCAAAGGAATATTTTGGGCGACAATTTTCATAAGGGAAAGGCTAATGGCACCCCTATCTTATACTAATGGCACCCCTAAAGCTATATAATCATTTATCTTTTTGTTCTTTTTTGTTCTTTTTGTTTTGTTGTTGTCTTTTTCCTTTTTATATTAATTTTTTTTTAATTATCTTATTATAAGTATATACTATTACATATATTATTTCTTATTCTATAAAAATATTGTTTTTTATCATAATTTTTATAA